TTAGAGCTTAGCATGTGAGAGTATACAATATCAGAGTTGATCAAACGCAACGACCAAGGGCGTCAATCGGGTGAGTTTGATCAGAGGCTTTAATCAAAGGCGTCATCCCTCACGGAACAACACCTCCCTGCGTTTATTACAGCAACAGAAGCAACTACAGCAGCAACAAGAGTAGCGACAACAACAGCAGCAACATCACATTTCGAGGGCGACGCAGCTACTTCCGATTCCGAGTGGGGACCTGCTCTCGCAGGACCCCACACGTCTTTGGAAATGATTGCGATGATCATGTCTGAGCTGAGATTAAAGTCACTCAAGATTACTTTGTTTAACCATAACTTTAGGTAGGTTGGTGTCATCGGGGCTGTGTGAATACTACTCATGAATGAAATCACGCTTCTGCATGACCGAAATTGTACTAATTTTGGTTGATCGAGTAGAACAAGGCACGTGCCATGTCCAGACGAATTCTTATCAACAACAGTGTCCTTAAATATGATGCTAAAATAAATGTTAACACTGGATTAAACGTGCACCTCTTAACCCCTCCCTCGCATTTACGACTAACAATTTGCATTTGCACATAACATACATTCAAGTACAGTAATTTGCTAAAACGACCAAATTGTCATTCTAAAATTTGAATGCCATTCTTACCCTCGACCCCCCACAGTTCACATATCCGACCGTCGGTTCGATTGAACGGACAATTAACAAACATGTGTAGAGTTCCATTATAATACTTCTAATGAAATTAAAATACCGTACCTCCGTTTATGGTGCTATAAATTATAAAACCAGTTGTTATCTTTTTTTGTCGTTTAATGTTTAGTGTTATTGTTTATAGTGTTATCAATTTACATATTTTTAACTGCAGGTGATTCCCGGTATACTTCGCTATTCTGGACCTGAACGTTGCGAAACGATTCATAACGAGGACCTTTCCCCACCAGAGCGCAAGCCGCTAATGAAAAGAACTCGGGCCGTCGGGAGGACGTGCTTCCATGGGCAGTGGGGGACAGGGCATGGTTGTATTGCCTACAGGTACCACCGGGTATGTCCCCCAAGTTGCTCCGCCCATGGCGGGGTCAGGTAGAGGTCATAGAGGTGGGGTGATGTAAAGACAGTGCATCAACTAAGGGACCAGGTGGTGACACACAAGATAGACTTTTATATAAGTTTATGCACCAGCGGCAAATTGCCCTGGAATTTTGCAATATTCAAGCCTTAATGGCCACACCAAAAAGCACAGCTCACCATCCCACCGCCGCCCCGCGACGCGCAACGCGGCACCACAATCCCCACGCACCGGCCGCGCAACAGCATCCGACGCGCTGTGTCATTTCGAGCTTTGGCAACCTCTTTGCTTGGCAGGGCCCCCCCGCTTATTCCACACTTCCTCCCCTGATGGTTCGAGGTCACAGTCATCGGTAACATCACCACCGCTAGATAACGCAGCCCGTGCGCCACGCCACCGCGCGAGCCACACCGCCACGTGCACATTCATCTACGTCACGTGTGCACACCGTCTGCGCACGCACCACCACCCCGCGAGATTTCCGCGACACGTGTGTCACACCACCGCATGCACCATGCTGCGAACGCGCACGTCACACCAC